ATAATTACTGCACTAGGTCTTACTGAATCAATAATAGCAGGAGATAGAATAGAGCAAGGAAAAGTAATCTCACTCTTAATTTGGAAGATCTTTTATAACCTTTTGCTAACAAAAGTTAAGGAAAATACTTTGCTCAGATATAAGATGGAGGTCTTCTAGAAAGAAAATCTTGAAAGAAAGAAAAGAAAGATCCAAAAAGTAAGACAAGCTATAGTAGCTTTTGCAGATAATACAACATAGATAGCAAGTACTAAAGAGTAGCTTGAAGAAACAATCCAAATTGCAGAAGAGTTTTTTAAATTCAATGATATTTAGATTAACCTATCCAAATCAAAGCTTATAGTAATAAATGCTAAAAGTAATATAGACCAATACAAAATAGTAGTGGAGAGACAAGAAATCTATGCAACAAAAGAAAAAGAAGCAGTAAGATTTTTGGGAATCTGAATAGGGCAAAGATTTGACAAAAAACAGACAATAGCTAAAGCCAAACAAGTAGTATGACTCTTTGCTAATACAATTAGAAAAAAGATAGTCTCTACAAGCCAAGTACTATATATAAACAATGTCTGCTTAATACCAAAGTTAGAATATATACTACAAAATATCTATCTAACCAAGGATGAATGTGAAAAAATTCAGCAACTATATGTAATGACTGCTAAGAACAAGATAGGTCTTGCAAGAACAGCTCCAAATTTTGTAATGTCACATAGTGGAATACTCAATATATGAATACTATAGAATATATTGAAAACCAAACAAATACTAAGTTTTATAAACAGACTAAACAAGAATTGCGAGATCAGAAGTATAACAGAAATAAGAATTAGACAGGGATAGCAAATTACTAGTTGTATAGATAGTATCTAAACAGAAAAGCTAGAAGATAATAAGAGAAAACTGCTCAAAAACAATTTAGCTAGTCTAGTTATTCAGAATAATCTAAATTCAGGTTTAGAAATTTTAGCTAACAAGAAAGAGTAGGTAGTTAAACCTAGCAGAATACTAATTAAAAGCCTAATAGAAAAGAAAACTTTTATTAGAGTAGCTAAGATACTCTGTGACCTTGATATACTTTTGTTAGAGCAAATCTTAGATCTAGAAGGATCTCATCTAATAATATAGCAGCAACTCAAAATAGCTAAAAAGAAATCTAAGAAAGGTAAAAAAGCTATATGATTCAAAGAAATTAAAGAGCAAGTACTAATATGCAAGAAGAAAAGAAAAATAAAAGATGAATTTAAGATAGGTATAAAAAATTCTTTATATTTGCAAAACTCATTTGAAGAAATTTCCTTAGACAAAAGAAAATATAAATAAGTAGTTTATGAAGATAGTCTTAGCAAAATCAGAAAGATAGGGAAAGTGCAAAAGAAAAAAGAAGACAGTATACTTCTAGAGCATTAGGAGAACAAGGAGAATATAGAGAAGCAAGAAGAAATTAGAAAATGTGAAGGTTGTATCAGCAACAAAGAAAAAGTATATAAAAAAATGCAGAGTCTAGTAACCAAAATGAAAGGTTCTAGAAATAATTCCAAAAAACTGTATAAACAGGGAAATGAAGATAATAGATTTTTCACTTAAATCAATAGCTACAAGTAGAGACTACTAAAAAGCTAAAAAGAGAGAATGCCCTCTTATAGGCTTAAGAGCAGTTGAGAAACAAGAACTCAAAATTATAGAAAAGTAGAATTTTAGTATAGAATTAGCAAGTATGTTAAAGGAAAAGACATAAGAGATTATTATGTTAAGAGAAAGTAAAGAAATAGAATTTTATACAGATGGGTCCTTAGGTAAAGAAAAAGATAAGGGAAATATGGAAGTAGGATGAGTAGTAGTAAATCAGGTAGAAAATAGTTTAGTTAGTTCAGAAAATTTGAAAGTTGTTAACTGGCCGATATCAACCAAAGCAGAGCTAATAGGAGTTTAGGTAGTTTTATTATTAGTATAATACGATTCAATAGTTAGAGTTCTCACAAATAGTGAACAGTTGATAGAGAGTATAACCAAAGCCTACAAGATCGAATAATATAGCAGATAGATCAGAGTGGATAATAGAATTATTCTAGAAAAAATTGCATCACTCATTAAGCAGAAAGGTATCAAATTAAAGCTAAAAAAAGTCCAAAGCTATACTGATAATAGATAGAACAATGAAGCAGATCGACTTGTAAAAGAAGGCAGAAAGTCAAGTTTTTTGCTAAATCTAGATCTAGTCAAAAGTAAAAATTTTAGCTATAATATAGCATGGAAAACAAACAGAATTGAGAGCTCAGTTAAGCAATTCATAAACAAGCTAATAAAAAGATACAATGATACAGAGTGGGTATACCAAAGAAAGAATAGCATAGCCAAAAGCTCAAAGTATAATTGGAAAAGGCTATAGCAGAGAATTAAGAAGCAGAGAGGAATAAATTGTCTATCGATAAAAGATAGCAAAAATCTTATCATGCAGATTAAGTACTTGTTAAATAGTCTTCCAACACTCAGCGAGTTTAAGAAAAGAAAGCTATCACTATACAAAAGTGATTATTGCATTCTATGCAAAGAAAAAATTCTGAAAAATCTTAATTATCTGATAAGTTGCTCAGCTCTGTAAGAGTCATGGGAGAAAATTGAGAAAGCAATAATAGAAGGTATCAACAAAATCTAACTCGAGGAAATCAATAACCCAGATTTGATATTAAAAATTAGAACGATTATCTTCCTAAAAAATAAGAAAAGTCTTTTTCAAAGAAGGAAAGAGCTAATAATTAGATTTGAGAAAAAGAAAATGGCTAAAGATATATATGCATTAGCTTAAGAAAAAGATGTTATGAGATCTTGAATAGATAGTATTTTTTTATTGCCTAAAGAAGCTTTGCAGAAGTTATATAGAACTAGTAATATGAAAAGGTAATCCTCTGAGAAAAAAGTAAGAGAATTATGATGTGCTTAAAAGAAACCAAGTAGAAGAAAATAAGCTAAAAGTGAGAATCTAAGCAGATGAAAGAAGAAAAGCATTGCTCGCAGAAAGGAAAAAAGAAAAGGGAAAAAAAAAGAATAGGTAGTAGCGTTAGTAGAAGGAGTAGTCAAAAAAGAAATTAAAGAAGGAAAAATAAGTTGATAGAGTTTTCTTTAATACAGTTAGACAAATTGTTCTAGCCTTTTGGTTAGTGTAACAGATTATACCTGAGTACTCTAGTAGTAGCTAGGTGATGTCAAACTTAGTAAATTAGGTAGATTATATAATCATATAACTTGGCTAAAGCTGTAGTTAACAACTTAATAAAGTTTATAATGTAACTGTTAAAGAAAAAAAAAATTATATAAATATTTCTTCTAATTATATATTTTTAAAATCTATATTTGCTTTATTATTTAACATATTAATAACAGAGATACTACTTTGTAGATTCTTTAATTCAGATACTCTACTTTTATATTGTGTTCTAAGATATTTTTTAAGATTCGATATAGTTCTATTATAATATACTAATTTTGTACTATAGAAATTATATTTCGCACTACTGCTTTCTACTTCAAAGTAGTTTTATACAAAAGATCTATAATATAAAGAACTAGTAAGTAAATATATTTTAGATAATAATATAATTATTTAAGTATAAAGTTATTTAACACTGCGAATCTTCTTACTTAGTACATATAGCTTTACTACTACTATCTTTTAATTGAGTTAGGCTACTGCTTTTTGATTGAGTCAAAGGTAATTCACTGACTTCAGTTTCATTTATATACATAGGCTCTTGTTTATAATTAGATTTGCTAAGTTTCTTATGAAGGGTATAGATGAAATTGACATTGTGAGAAGACTAAAGACTTTACAATTTTAAAGTTTATAAGTTTTTTGTATCAGAAAAAAAAATTTTTTTTAAAAAAAAAAATATTCCACATTCATTATCATAATGCAAAGGTTTTATATTAAAAAAAAAAAAAAAAAAAAAAAAAAAAAATTCATTATTAAGATAAAACTGTATATAGTATCAGTATCTGGTATTATATCAGAAATTTATTAATCAATTAGAGTCTACTTAAAAAAAATATCCTATATTCATTATCATAATGCAAAGATCTTTTATTAAAAAAAAAAAAAAAAATCATTTCATTATTAAGAAATTATAAAACTGCATACAGTATTAGTATTTGGTATTGTATCAGAAATTTAACAATTAACATTAACTAATTAGAGTCTACTTAATACAGCTAATTAGTGTGAACAGATCCAAATAGATCTTTAGATCAGATCCCAATATAGATCTAGATTCAGTAATTCTAATAAATCATGGATCCAGATTCGATCTGAAATCTGATTTAGATCAGATCTGGATCTCAGATCAAATCCTGTAGAACACTACTAGCTGATCTTTCTTTGCCTTATTTTCTTTTAAGATTTAGTAGCTGAAAGTTTTCTTTATCACTTATAAAATCTTCAATTTGACTGTCTTCACTAGATAATTTATCATTTTCGTTAGTAAATTCTTGCAATACCTCAATTAGATATCTTGAACATGATTTTGATTATAAAGCTTTTTGTATAGCTTTTTTATACATCCTATAAAGAATGCTATATAGAGCTTTTTGTTCAAAAATATTTATTCTTTGCTCAGCATGATCTATTTTCTCTTTGTTAATTGTACACAAATAAGTTATAGGTTTATTATTTTCTTGTTAAAAATTAGCTATTTCATTGTAATATTTATTGGCAATAATAAATAGTTTAAGGGTAGGGTGTATGTAGATTATTTTTCATATGATCTAGATAGTATATTGGATTTTTATATAGTAAATTAAAATATGTTACTAGTAAAACTTTTTTATTTTTTAATTAATTTTTATGAAAATTCAATAATATATAGATTTAAATAAGTAATTTATTATATTAAAATTTTATAAGATATTTAATTTAAAAAAATTATATTTGTATATATCTTGAATTTTCCCTGGACACTCTATGTTTTTCCCTGGTTATACAAAGAAGTCAACTTTAATTGGCTAATTTCTGAAAAGCTATAAGAGAATTTTAATAGTAAATTTTTATATCGAATCTTTAAAAATTCATATATCGATGAGTTTTAAACCAATTTTAATAATTTTACTACTGTTAGAATCACAAGAATCTGCTCTTCAAGTTTACTTAAAAGCTCAAAAAATATTTAATTAGTAAAAATTTTTATAATTCGAGTTATAAAAAAATATACCATCAAGTTTATATATAATTTTAAATATTACACCCTACCCTTAAGTGATATATTCTTATCTTTCTAATACTAGTGAGATAAGATTATTCTAATATGAAACTAGGCTCTACTACTGTTTAATATAATCTAGAAATAGTGCTAGCAAATAATACTCTGTTGAACGATTGTAAGACACAAATACAGATGTATTTTATTATTTAATAGAACAACATAGTGCTTTCTCTTTAATGAATTTCTAATTTTGATTTCCTATATTTCATTAACATTACTCTGTTCAACTATATCCAATAATTATTATATAGTAACTTTAGGACTATCAATATGATCTTCTTCAGCATCTGATACAATAATTTTAGCCTTATTATCAAATATAATATTATCATCAAATATAATGTTTTGAGAAAGTAAATATATATTATAATAAAGGGATTGATTGATTTTATTACACTGCATCTTTAAAATAGTTGGAGTTAAAAATTTTTGGCAGCATTTGTCTACCTCAGTGAACAAAAAGTTTGCTTGCTCAATATTTTTGACTGTTGGTATAGCAAGTCTCCAATACTTATATTGATTTTGCTTATCTTGCTGATCAAGTAATTTATATATTTCTTGCATAAGTTCACAAAGTGAAATATTAGAATTATATAACAATCTTTTAAGATATGCATTTATACTTTCAACTCTTGATATTAAAATCATCCCTCTGGTAAATTTAAAACTTGTATATGAATAAGTCCAATACTCTTTTGTTTGAAACAGATTGTCCAGATAAGACTTACTCTTAGTATAGTTATCAATTAACTTTGTAAATTGATTATGAAAGGTAATCTTAACTAAACTATTTTTACATAGATAAAAGTCCTTGAAGAAACTACTATACTGACTTCTAATTAAACTTTGAAGATTTTTATGAAAGTTTTGTGTAATGTGAAATGCATAATGTATTAGGTATATTGTTGAGAAAATTTCCTTTATAGCAGCATCAACTGCAGGATCTAAATCTATTAAAATTACTATTAGCTGAATATTAGTTGCCTTGAGAATTTGTTTGAAAAACCAAATATGTGAATCTTTACTTTTATCCACAACTAGCCCTTGCACAAGAAGAATATTTTATCTATCCCTATTAAATCTTACAAATAATAATAAGGGTATCCTATACCTATTCATCTTATGTATAATATTATTTATGATACAATCACTAAATTGTATCTAATTTTCTACCTGAGTTAGCATTATCTATATCAGATGTGTAAGCGTATTGTCATCATCTTATCCTCTTGCTACTATTTATCTAGAATCTTTTTCTTTCTAATTATCAAACTAGTTAGATATTTGTGTAGTATCATTCAAGAGATACTTGTTAGTAGATCAAAATTTGCTAATAGCAGCATACAAATCATTATTATAAATGAGTTAGAAAGGATATTTACCTTCTAGATATCTTCTCTAATTTGTTGCTCCTATTCTATAATACTGCATCAAAAACTTAATATTATCTATTATTTCTTTATTGAACCTTTTTTTATGTTCGAATAAAATAGCATTAACGTTTAACTCATAATTATATTCATTTACAACTTTATTAATAAAAATTGCAGAACTTAGATTTTTATTTTTGAGGTAAGAAGTATTTATATATCATGGGCATTGCATTTTTTTAGTGCCTGTTTCCTTATTAGAGTTGAATTTATAATACCAACTATGCTGACAAATATAAGTTCTTCTTCTAATAATATTATTTTCATGATCAATACAGTTTTTTATAATATTAAATCTATTAGTTTTACCCTATTTAATAATAAATAATTCATATATTTTCTAGTTCGATAATACTTTTCCAGTAAATAACCTTGATATATCACTTTTAGTGCTGCTGATAAATGATGTTGCTTGAAAAGTGGTAGTTTTATTTTCTGTATTTTCAAAATTCCTGTTATAATAATTGTTTATGTTCTCCTTTTTAGCATCATTCATATTACTAACAAGATATTTTGAAATAGTGGTAGCTATATTTTTCATATTTTTG